CTTTATCCACCATTAGGAACTTTGAAAATCAACATTTATTTAGCATTAACAATAAATAAAAAAGACATCAAGAATTGTGAACATAACAACTAATAATCTGATATAGCACCGGACCGGTTAACGGTGTTTTTAGGGTTTTACAATATGGCCTTTCTATTGCAAAAGAAAATGGCTCGATATCTCCACCCATTCTCCATAAAACTTCTTTTTGGGGGGTGGATAAAGAAATATGAAACGGACTGTAGTAAGCGAGTCTTTTTTCTATCGTAATAGGACCGGAATTCTTCGAAAAAACCCCAAAATGAATGTATAAGGGTTTTTTTGTTCACAAATTCTTTAGAGAAGTGATTCAATGATTCGATTGTTTGCCGAGCTTGTCGAGTATTTCAGTTGCTTTATATAAAATGAAAAGGATTGAAAACAAGAAGATTCCATCCTTCATTATCACTCTAAAATGCGCAAATGGTTTCTTTTCTTGACTTATTCTGTTATTGGGATTTTTGCAGTAAGTTATTCAATTTGAATTTTTCAATTTATAGAGAGATTTGATTGTATCTTTTACAATAAACCATCCAAATTCTAAGATTAGAGATAGAGATACAGTACTGGACAATGAAATATCATATTTGAAAAACGATCGTCACTTTGTAGCTCCCTTGTCTTTGAGTTTAAACTATTAGTGTTATACATTTTCTGCAAGCTCATTTCAAGGGTTACCCAATGGTAACACTAATATTTAGAAACACTAATATATTTTTGACGCATTTCAGTGCGCACGAGATGGGATACTCAAAATTTTTGATTTGCAAAGCTGTTTTTCTTTATGATAAAGTGCTGGAATCGCTCTGAAAATACGATTTTTGGAATCTACGCAGAAATTTACCTTAGAATAATCAATATTTGTAAATTGTATCACAGTTTCATAGCAAAAAAAGCCACATTTGTGAAATTCTCACTTCTTGAGCGGTCAAGCGAGGAAGAAGCTGGAAAACAAATATTTAACAAAAATGTAGTACATGAAGAAGTAACAAAAAAGGTAACAATAATGAGAAAACTCCAGAGCACACAATGGAAATTTCAATATTTAGTAGCAAATCCTTTACAGCTTGATTTACCGCTTTACAGCTCGATTACAGCTTGACATCACATAAATACAGAAATTTCCATTGTGTGCTCTGGAGCTTTCTCATTATTGTTACTGTTATTGTTATTTTGTAATTCCCTAATTAAGAAGATAGAGAACTTGTACTATTTATTCAATGTTTAGAACACCGGATGTGGCAATGATTACCCAAACAATCAGAATTTCGGATATCGATTCGGGTACTCGACTTATTATCGACCAGGATATGCCAGAAACTTTAACGTTTACCAAGGACAGTCACAATCTACTTATCAAAATCAACAGCAGTCTACTTATCAACAGCCAGAGATATACAATCAAGGGCAAGGACTAAACCCAATTTTTCCACCGAATTTACCGTCTCCTCAACCAACGCCCATTCAAACCACACAAGAACCCGTTGAAACGACAGAAGAACCCATTCAAACAACACAAGAACCCGTTGAAACGACACAAGAACCCATTCAAACGACACAAGAACCCATTCAAACGACACAGGAACCTGTTCAAACGACACAAGAACCCGTCCAAACGACACAAGAACCCGTTGAAACGACAGAAGAACCCATTCAAACAACACAAGAACCCGTTGAAACGACACAAGAACCCATTCAAACGACACAGGAACCTGTTCAAACGACACAAGAACCCGTCCAAACGACACAAGAACCCGTTGAAACAACACAAGCACCCATTCAAACGACACAAGAACCCATTCAAACAACACAAGAACCCGTTGAAACGACACAAGAACCCGTTGAAACGACAGAAGAACCCATTCAAACAACACAAGAACCCATCCAAACGACACAAGAACCCATTCAAACGACACAGGAACCTGTTCAAACGACACAAAAACCCGTTGAAACGACACAAGCACCCATTCAAACGACACAAGCACCCGATCAAACGACATCTACTCCGATTGTACCGAAATGTCCCAAGAATTCAGAAACTTGGAAAGCCACTTGCTATCTGGTAATTTTTAGAAACATTCATTGAACAATATTGAACATTGAACAAGACATTGAACCAATCATTAAACCTTCGAGCAGAAGAAGGAATTTCCAGCTTTATTAGAGTTTTAATATTTATTATAGCAATTTTTTGAAAGACTAACTATAAATGCAAACTTAGCTGATGACTGAAGACATCGGGATCACTTTTTGGCACGCCGAAGGAAAATGCAATCATTGGGCTAAGGACGGACATCTTGCCTCAATTCGTTCAGAAGAAGAAAACAAACTCGTCACGGGTAAAAAAGATCATTTTTTTTCAATTAAAAGCTTTTTAGACCTTGCTGCAAAGAAAAATATTGATAAAGAGCAGCCATGGATCGGTGGAATGATAGTTAGTTCGAATAGGTTAGAACAGAGCAACATTACTTTAGTCAGAAGTAGTCGGCGGCTGGGCCTGGACCGATTTTGATCCGTTTGCGGATTTCGCGGGTTACCTAACCAATGTCCCCGCTGGTCAAGGTCTAAATTGCCTTCAAGTAATTTTTTGATTTGGTTTTGTTTTAAGTAAAACGTGTTTAAAGATTTTTAAATCTACATACAGTTGACTCTCTCTATAACAGAATTCTATATAACGGAAAACTCTATATAAAGGAATGGAATTTTGGTCCCCGCCGACGTTAAGCTATATAAAACGGCACTCTAGATAACGGAAAGATCTATATAATGGAAAAATTATTTGGTCCCTTTTATTCCGTCATAGAGAGAGTCGACTGTACACGACAATCCAACTCACTGGTGGGCCGTACTAATGACGATTATTTTTGGTCTTAACTCAAGTTTTTGAGTGCTTTTGTTATTTATTTTGCAGAAAGTTCTCGGTAATTTTGTACTAGTTTTCAAGAGGAGATTCAGCGCTATCGAATGAGCTATAATAGTTTAGTTTATCATTGAATGTTCAAATCAGTAAAACAGTAACGACTACACGACTACCTAAGCCAGATTCCTTGCGTTTACGTGATATTTCCAAGGGAAGGTCAACTGGGTGATAAACCAATCGACGCAGAATTTCATGCTGATTCTGAATCTGCTTTCGGTTTTTGCAAAATGACATTCTATCAAAAGTTATGAGCGCTCTAACTTTTACAAGGAATTTTCTATTTCCAACTAAAAAAGATAAGGGACATTATAGTCGAATTTACCGCAATACACAAGCAGAAGTCGTGGTGAAGGGGCAGTGAACTAGAATGTGAAGTGGAGGCTCTCTGGTTCGAGTCTCTACCAAGAATGTTTCTTTTCTGCCATTGTTAATTTATCTTGTTTTTATTTGTTAAAATCAATTTTTTTTGTGTGAAAATAGAGTAAAAGAGGATTGTTTTTAGAAAGGAGAACACTCAAGTTGGTTAAAGCAAAAACTTTAACTTTAAAGGTTAAAACAAAATAAAATATTCTTGTTGGGGAGTTGAACCAGAGAGCTTTCGCTTTGTATTTTAGTTCACTACCACTTGACCACGACTTCCGTTTTCTGTATTGCAATAAACTCGTCTATGATCTCACAATAAACGACGACAATAAACTGACCCTTTTTTGTTGAAACTAGAAAATTCTTTGTAAAAGTTAGAGTGCTCATAACTTTTTAAAGGGTTCCATTTTGCAAAAAGGGAAAGCAGATTCGGAATCAGCGTGAAATCCTGCGTCGAATGGCATAGGTTACATTTTGATCAGTTATCTGGGCCAGACAACCTTCCCTTGTGAGTTATTTTTGTGCTTTTAGTTATCGAGCAACAACAACAACTCTCCAGCTGATTTTAAGTTGGGAAAATGGATTGCAAAGAACTGTGAAACAACGTCGAAAGTTTTCGTCTGCAAAAAGCCACTCATGTAACCGGAAAAATCAAAATTGAAAAAAATTAGAACATTTCTATTCAAATAAACTGTTTTTCTTTGAACAACAAGCAAATTTAATGATCAAATTGTTTAATTACTTTTTGGTTTACTGTGCCTGGTCTTGGAAACGAGTTTTTTCAGTTTACGGCAATCTGTGACACCTATCTATTAGGTTGTCGGATTATGAATTGCCGTTGTCTTTTTTGCTTTGTATTTTTTTTTCAAATAAATTTTTGTGGTACTTTTTAAACTATATTAAAGAGCGTTTTATGCCGCGTCGATTGATATATTATTCGTCTATATTTGCTTAGATTTTTAATATAAATTTGTCTTAGGAAATGAACGACATCAAAAATAAAATGCGGATTTGTTTGTTGTACGACTTCAAACAAAGAAAAACAGCGGCAGAATCCCATCGCTCTATAAGCAATGCATTCGGAGAAGATGTTATCAACGAACGTCAATGTCGCAATTGGTTTCAGCGCTTTCGGGACGGCGACGAGAGCTTTGAAGACAAAGAACATGAGAGGCGACCAAAAACTGTGGACGATGAGGAACTTAAAGCAGCCATCGATTCTGATCCTGCCCAAACGACACGAGAACTTGCTGAGAGGTTCGGTTGTCATCATTCCACCATTGCTGACCACTTGCATGCCATTGGTAAGGTGAATAAATGCGGTAAATGGGTGCCTCATGAACTAAGCGATTTGAGCAAAACAACGCGAATCAATATGGCCGGAATTCTTTTGCGTCAAGCCAAGAACAGTGGTTTTTGAGTCGATTGTCGTCTGATGAAAAGTGGATATCCTTTGATAATACCACTGAAAACGACAATGGTTGGACCCTGGACAAACCCCAAAACCGACTCCAAAACCAGACATCCATGGCAAAAGGTGATGCTATGTGTTTGGTGGAATAGCAAAGGATTGGTGCATTTGAAGTGCTAAATTCTGGTCAAACGGTTAATGCGGACCTCTACAAGAACAATTAAGCCGCGTCGATCAATCGCTTCGTCGACAGGGAGTGGAAACATCGTCAACAAAATTGCTCCATGACAACGCGCGTCCACACACCGCAAAAGTAACTCTGAAAAAAATTGAAGAATTGGGCTGGGAACTTCTGCCTCACCCGCCATATAGCCCAGACCTTGCGCCATCTGATTACCATTTGTTCCGGTCGATGCAGCATTCCTTGGCCGAAAAAAAATTCAAAAACCGCGATGAAGTCCAAATTTGGGTGGCCAATTTCTTTGAGTCACAGCCGGTCGAGTTCTTCAACAAGGGTATTCATTCTTTGCGTGGACGTTGGCGAGATGTCATAGATATCGATGGAGAATACCTTTTAGATTAAAATATTTTTGTATTGATTTTATAATAAAATTACTTTTTGATAAAAACGGCAATTCATAATCCGACAACCTAATATTTGCTATTTTTTGGTACCTATTTGGTACCTATTTAGCACCTATTCAGTAAAAGTAAAACATTGTTAAAATCTTTTACGCCCACGTAGCTGAACATTTGTTGAAATACCTCGTTTTACAAATCCTTTGCTTTACATGTACACTCATCAGCCTTTCAAAAGCACCTGCCTACAAGTTTTCTTTCTATAAACAAAGATTTATGAAAAGTGATCATATTAGAGTCAAAACCAGCTAACAAATTCAACTTTGGGATTTGAAACGATTTGATTCAACCAATGATAGAAGAACCCGGTGCCAGGATGTTCTATCATGTTCTATCCACCATTTCTACTCTTCTTTCATTCTTTTGGATGTGGATGATATTAAAGCATTCTCCTAAAGAAATGAAGGATTTCAAATGGCTTCTTATCAAATTGGCGGTGGGTTTGAGTTCTAGAAACAAATTGGCAATCAATTGGTAAGCCACAAAGCTAGCTGGATTGTAGAACTTGTTTTATCAAAGTTGTGGTAATCAAAGTCTAGGCTCTTATCAGAATTAGAAATCTGTTAATTTTAATCTCTTGTTTGTTGTTTACAGCTAATGGAAGAACTCTTTGCAATATTTCTCGGTGGTGTCCTGGCCTGTGATCCGTTATTCCCAGCTTCCGGAGCTGCCGTTCTTGGATTAGCTTACTATTTTGGACAACCGGGAGCACATTTTGGGGTAAAGCAGCGAAAGAAATTTTTTACAATTCCGTACAGATGGCAGGTGCATTTTTCTTCGGAATGTCAATATTTTTCTCGATCAATAACTGTGTGCGTATACGTGGGATGGTTCTCAACGGGCAAGAGCACATTGTTCGGGCTTGTGCGAAGCCGTACATTGGTATGAAATGAAAGCTGGGCTTGCTAAACACCTTCGGGGGTTTTTAGCAGTGCCGCCAGCTGTGAAAAAGCACTTATATCTCTACTTTGAATAAAGATATCAAAAAACTAATCACAGATTCAAATTCGGACAAACTCTGGCTACAAAATAAGTCAAAATTTAATCAATTTCAAGCAACTTATGTAGCTTTATATGTCAACTTATGTAGCTTTATAAAAATTTCTATATGGTAAATGCTAAATACCGGTAAATCCGATACCGATAACATCAAGGATCCACTAGAGCTTGAAGATCAAGATCATCTACAGATGATTTAAAGCTTTCGAGACTATCGGACTCTCTGAAAACTCCGGGGAGTCGATTCCAACAGTAAAAAAAAGAAATCAGATTGTAAAGGCATTACTTGTAAACTTATTGAGCTAAAAATAAAGCACTAACTAGCCTAAATCAATATCTCTCAGGTATTCCGATAACAATGGGCTTAAAGATGGTGATGGGTGCTCCATTGATCACCTCAATGTATTTAGCACTTGAAGAGCCACAGGTCTTTCTTTTCATCAGAATAATGAAATCAGTTTTTACAGCAATTCATTGACCGAATGATCGCAACTGGGGACTATCAATATATTGCATTTTACGCGGTTCAAAAAGATACAGTCTGGTTGAGTATCGACACTTCTTCCACATCGGGAACTGTTTTCATAATGGTAACCTCAAGCAAAGCCTAAAAGCTGAACAATATCCTAGTCTAACAAACAAAATAACAACAACAACAACAAACTATTTTAGACCCTAATTTTTGGTCTACTTCTTATGTATTTGGTGAACGTCGTGGCTTCATTGCAATTGCTTCGAGGATTGCGAGCTCATCAAGCTCTCATGTCTAAGTCAATCTACAAGGCTCATCTATCAATTTTCTACATGTTAGCCTCACAGGTGACAGAAAATTTGCAGAAAAATCTTTCGATTTACAGAATATCTACCCAATCTTCGTCTTGGTTCTCCCAGTCGCTTTCACGGCTTTCAGCCTTGCAATCAATGATCATGCAATCCTGGCATCAAATGTGTACAAGCACTATATGTCGAGTGGATTGATAATTTATCCAGTAAACTGTTTAATTAGCAAAATAACTACTGTATTTCCTCTAATAAACGCTATTAGACTTTAGACCCCTCGACGCCTCGAATTCCCCTCGACCAACTTTAGACGCCTCGTTCTAAGCCCCATTTTCCGTTATTTTTATATTTAATATACCAAAAGAAAGAAGACATTAAGGGCTATCTTTTGGTACATTAAACATAAAAATATCTCAAAGTAGAGCTGAGAACGATGCCTCTAAAACTGGTCGAAGGAGAGACGTTTATTAGAGAATTTTTATATTTAATATACCAAAAGAAAGAAGACATTAAGGGCATCTTTTGAAAATAAAATAAAAAATCTCGGCAAGAACGATGCGTCTAAAATTGGTCGAAGGAGAGGCGCTTATTAGAGGAAATAAGGTATCATCTTTCAGGCTATGAGCTGCATCGTTTCAATATTGATTATGAAACCTTATCGAGATTATGTGAGAAAGAACATCTTTCGAATCAAAGATCCTGTATTAACAGTTGAACCAACGCTGAGTAGTGCGGCTCAAAGGTTTGTCGACTTTGAATGAGTTTGCAAAAGTAATAAGTTTAGATGGGGAACGAACTAAAGTATTATTCCGTTTTGAAAAGTATGATGGTTTCAAAATTCTTGACTGAATTTGAATTTTGAATGAATGACAATAATTCCTTGCCAATAAATGTTTATCTTGAGTTGCTGTAAACTTTATTGGTCAACGATAATTCTTGAAAACAATCACATTCAATCAGTTCTTTGCACAAAGTCCTTTAGCGACAACGCATTTCGAACCGGCTGGGCAAGCCGAGCAAATCGTTCCATTCTTGTAGATTGGCACTCCAACAGTCAAGCCTCTGAAATTCAAAGTATTTTGTCAATTTTGATAGATTTTAGCGTCCAATCTTGAACTTACTTGGCTTTATAGTGACAGACAACAACAAAACTGTCCTGTGGTTGATAGGTGGCAAAAGCGCAACCGATAGCATAGGTGTTTGCAGCAAAGAGCTATAAGATCAACGAATAGGCAGATTATCCAGCCAATACTTGGCACAAGTTTAGTTTAGTACCTGATAAGAGTTATCTTGGCCTGAGAAAGCGATCGGATCGCTGGGCTTCGTGTATTTGATATTGGGAAGGCCCCATTTCTTGTAGAAGCTCCATTGAAACATAGCATTGTCAACTAAAACGTGATCGAGTTAACATAGAGTTAGAAAATGATTCAAGTTTGCTGATAACTATTCACATTTTGTTTTCGGAGCCAGATTTGCTGGCGTCATTGGTCCAACAGCCAATCCATAGTGATTTTCTCCGACACCAGCTGGGAGAACAGCATTCAAGTATGGATATGTTGCTGTCTCGCTGCTGTTCTTTGAAGCAGCTCTTCTTCCAGCCGATGCAGCCAATGTTGGGTCCCAAACCTGCAAATTCAATCTTAGGGTCATCTTTCATCAATTTGCCACTAACCAATTGATACATATTCGTAGCCTTCGGATATTTCAGTCCAGCCGTTCTCTTCGTTCCATCAATTCCATTTTTCCAAGCGACTAATCCTTTAGCGACATTTGAACGAATATTGTTGTGAGTCTAAAGCAAAGAAAACTCATATTGAGGATTACAGCATACGTTCACAATGTAGGTCTGAAGAGCTGGCGCAAACACGGTGTAAGCTGCTGTGGCCACTGAAAGTTTGGAATAAGAGAAAGATCGTCGAACCAAACGGTAGTTAACTATTGTAGTCTACCGTAATCCCTAGCTTTCCGTACAACGGACTTACTTTCTATGTTTACTACGGACTACGTGAACTTTTATTTGTCCATCCAAAAGTTCAGTACCCAAATCTCCATTACAAATCTGAGTTGAATTAAAAGGCTTAAAAAATCAGTCAAGTAGTTTTGTAGTTTTTGTAGTCAAGTAGTTATCTAAATCACAAACCCGTGACAAAAGTAAAGAACAAAATGAGGCTGTTCATCTTGAAGAAAGAGTACTTTTCGATACTTCTCTGAAACCCATCCCCTATTTATATTCATCTAATCCACCCACTTCACTTCATTTTTGGTCATCCAATCGAACACGATGATCTCCAATCCATTGTTCCCCACTTTTGTGGGTACATTTTTGCTATTATTGGACTTTTGAGACACAAAACTACACAGCTGATTTGAAGTTTCTAGTTTGAAAAGTGAAAATTCTGGTCAACAATTGAATTTTTTTTGCAGAGAATCGGTTTTGGTTTTGTTTTTGCTTTCGCTCACGCACTAGACGAGCCTTTTTTCAATTCAAACACCCACGGCAGGCTAAAATTGAAATTTCAAGCTAAAATGTTTTTGAATTTTCCTGACCCTAAGCTTATAGTATGGAAATGTTTTTGGATTTCAAAGAACATTAAATTCTCGAACTACAAACTACAAAGGTCTTAAAGATTCAGAGAAAGATTCGGTTTACAGTTTTTGTTACAAATCCCAATTTAGACTCAGTGCTTTTGCTATTTTAGAACAAAAATAGTGTGTTCTTGGTGAAATTACAACAAATTGATTTAACACTTTTAGCGGTCCCTCAACAACAGAAAAAACGTCATTATGCAAAAGATCAAAAAACTTTTTTAGGCAAGAACAAAACAAGCGCTAAATAAAGTTCTAAAGTTTATTTTTGGATGAATCAGCCGTAAAACATGTACAGGCGAGATGTCATTGGAACAATATGTTCTCCATCAAAAAGGAAAGTAAAATTTATTCCGAACTTTTTCCAAATTTGTCCCGACATTGCCCAAGATCAGGGTACTTACAGCGAAGCTCACAGGCTGAATCTTTGGCGCAAGGTTGTAATGGATATTGGCCAGTCCTGAGATGATTCTCCTGGAAGACTTGACTCAAAAAAGTCTCTGGACTCTTGGCCTGCCTTGCTACTTGCCCTCCCGGTTAGAATAACCCTGATAACTAAAATCATTCTACAGCTATTCTACAACGATTTTTGTAACCTCCCATTTACTGGTACCCGTCAGAAAATGTCGTCGTTTAAAATGAGACTCGCCGACTTTCTCACACCAATAATTATGTCTTCTTTCTGGTGGCACAGCTGAAAAGGGAATTTATCATGTTGTAATAGCTGTAAACACCTACAATTAGATTTAAAAAAATTAGCTCCATTGCCACTATTACCCAAGACGACTAAAAGAAAAACGGCAAAAACTGGCTAATGAAATCTTTCATTTTTAAAGCTGAAATGTCTTTGCTTGTCTTTATGTTTCAATTATTTATTCTAAATAATCCAAAATTACGTTGGAGGGTTTTTAACGATTTTTAATCTAAAAATGGGTTATCAAATTGGTATTGTGTCAAAAATAAAAATTTAAAAAAAAAAAAAATAATTTTTTTTTTAAATTAAAAAAGAGGGGGGAGAAGGGGTTTTTTTTTTTTTTTTTTATAGGGGATGGGGGTTTTAAAAAAAAAAAAGGTTTTTTTTTTTTTTTTTTAAAAAAAAAATAAAAAAAAAAAAAAGGGGGGGGTGGGGGTTTTTTAAAAAAAAAGATTTTTAAAAATAAATAAAAAAAAAAAAAAGTAATTGGCAATTTCAATGCATCTCATAGTCAGTAAGATTCGATTGTTTATTTGAGTTTGAATAAAATATTAACAAGAAGATCAAGAGAAGAATAGAGCTCCAGTTGTGGTAGTTGAAACATTAAGAACCTTTAAAATCTCGATGGAGATTCTCCTGGTCGAGTCAGACTCTCTTCTCTCTCCTTTGCCGCCATCGGAATTCTAGAAGTTGTTCTAAAATTTTCCCAAATCGAGGTACCTGAATAAAAGCTTGAGTTGAAGTGTAAATATTTCCCGAAAATGAGCACTGAAATAAATTAGAATTGCGAATTTCTAAGGGTTGCCAAAATCACCTATTAACAAAGAGCACATAATATGGCAATGAATAGCTTAACATAGCTGGAAATACCTGAATTTTATTCATTTATTAAGTTTATGCAATTCTTCAAGATTTCTTACCATGTAAGTTTGAAAAACTGGCACAAGTTCAGCGGAAAGACCCAAAAATTGTACGACATCAGCTCCGATTAAAGCGAAAAACCAAGAGAAAACAAAAGAGATCACTAATACGGAAAGGGATCGAGTTACCTGAAAAACAAATTTATGAAAATGCCATTTCCAAAATAAATCTACCTTTTCCTCATAGCATTGATGTTTTAATCGATTCTCAGCCAAGCAAATATCTTGCTGAGCAGTTTTCTTTTGATAAGCTGGAAATATTCGATGATAAATAAAACATTTGATGGTAAAGCAAGCAAACAAGGAAAGCTGATCAAAACAGCGCCGTTTACAAACAGCGCCACGGCAAAACTAGCGCCTCCGTGGTTAAGTTTCTATGTGTTACTTATTCTTATTAGATGTGGAATAAAATTATCGACATTTTGCAGACTTTGGAATCACTTAAAACAGAATTGGTGCCGAGAAAAGCTTAGTCAATCTCTTTTTGGGCCTTTATCCGTTTTTTGGCATTTTCTCATCCCAGATTTGTTCTAAACGGCTCCAAAAGACTCAGCAAATAGCTAATTTTTTTCTACATTTAATGAAAATAAGAAACACAAATAAACTTAACCGCAAGCGCATTATTTTGGCCGGCGCTGTTTGTACACGACGCTGTTTTGACTAGCTCCCCAAACAAGGACTATTTCCGCGTGAAGAAAAGTTGTGGCTAGCCAAGTAAAGCCTAACACCTACCATAAATACTGTAATTTATGAAAAAATAGCCCTAAATCACCTTAAAACAAACTATTTTTGATACATAAGCGCAAATTGTAGCTTAAACCAGTGTCGTGAAAAGCGAGTTCAAAGCTAGCAACACTCTGCACCGTTATTATGAGAGTGGGGTACTATTACAGTAAAAGCTAAGCCCGCCAAGAAGAAATTTAAAAGCCTGAGACGACCTGGCTTTGTCTTGGCTTGAGAAAATGACTCACTGCTGATCTTTGCATTCATTTATCAGCTTCACCAACCTTGAACATGAAACTTGATCAACAAAAACATATACAGCGCAAATGTTATCACATTTATCCACACGCAACCACGTAACCACACTTTACGAGGCTCTGGAGCAAAAGCGATTGGTGGGTTACAAATCCACAAAATTTCTAAACAATCACATTTTCAATAAGAAAAACTTATGACAAATTCTTTCTCTTTAGGTTTGAACAATTACCATCATCAATTCCTCTAATTGCTAAAGCTTCCATCCAAGACGAAAAGATAACTGCTGGTAAAGCCATCAACAAACAGTAAATTTTAGTTGGAGTTCGGCGATGGCTGAAATCGGGCTATTTATTCGCCATAAAAAGTTAGCAAAAATATTATCTCTGGACAAAGTTATAGGCCTTCAAAGCGTGACAACCGGCTCAAAATACGCGGATTTTTTTCAAAATACCTGGATTCTTTCAAAATATCCGAAAACTACACAAGAAAAACTACGAAAATACACGAAAACTACACAGTTTTTATTTTAAGTGGCACAACTACAATGTATTCTAATGTATTCTAATGTTTTCTAAAGAAGTTTTAGCTTTATTGGTCAAACATGGCCGTGAAAAAGCTCGTAGAGACAAACAGACAGACAGACATTTTGTTTTTTTTATAGTAGATCCAGCAAAACAAACAAAGCTGGAGCTAAGCTCGATATGACAAGATCGATTGAGAGTAAAAGGAGAAGAAATTGTTGCATACAAATTGTGAATAAGTAAGGCGATTGAACGGTGACACAGAGACGTCGGGTAATCTAAACTTGAGTACTTGAATAGAGATTCGAGGTAAGATTTTTTCGACTTTGATTTCAAAAAGGTTTACCATTGTCGTAAAAAACATACAATATGCTTGAATAAACTCGAAAAGTAAACAAACTGATTGGAAGAATGTTGTCATTGTGAGTAAAACACCTGAATTTGATCGGATGAGTAAACAAGTATGCAAGGGAATCTCAGATGCTTCTCCGAAGGAAAATTCACAGAGAAATTGTACTTATCATTACAGAAATTGAATCTATCATTACAGAAATTGATTTTTCATTACAGAAATTGGGGGGGTGAGACAAATGCGACCTTTTTTTCCGCACTTAGCCCATTAGCGCACCTTTTTTCGCGTTTTAAAAAAGCTCTAAAAGCTAATATTAACCAATTTCTATTCCAAAAGTTGGTTTTCTAGGTAATTTTAGGGCGTAGAATCGAAATTTTGACATATCAGAGCTTGTGGAACCAATTTGAAAGATAAAACGGCAAATTACAGAAAATTGTTGATTTTTCTCTTTGGATAACTCCGTCCGTTCGCTTCCACAAGCTCTCTTATGCCAAAATTTCGATTCTACGCCCTAAAATTACCTAGAAAAACAACTTTTGGAATAGAAATTGGTTAATATTAGCTTTTAGAGCTTTTTTAAAACGCGAAAAAAGGTGCGCTAATGGGCTAAGTACGGAAAAAAAGGTGCGCAAATGTCCGGGTGCGGAAAAAAAAAGGTCGCATTTGTCCCACTCCCCAGAAATTGTATTTATCATTACAGAAATTGAATTTATCATTACAGAGCTTCTCCTTCCTTATCCAGTTTCACTCACCATGTTTCCCTTTCAAGTTCCCTCTCTTGCAAGCCCATAAAATATTGAAATTTCCAAAGTTACCAAAAATATTGAAGAAAATGATTCCCCATCCGATAACTGGTCGAGTCACTTGCATAACTGAGTCCATCAATTTTGAATTTTAGCGCAACTCTTTTAAATCTCCAAGGATTGAATTAAATAGAAAAATTCTAGAAAAAAGTTGTCTAATGAGTCTGGGACGAGTAGACATTCTTTTCTGTTTTTTCATTCGTAATTGGTCTGGTTTTCTTTGCACCTATGTTAGATGAGATGCGGGTGAGGCTCGAATTTCAATTCCATGCTCACTCCAAGCAAATTTTGGGAAGAAAAATCTTTATAAGCAAAAGAAAGTGCAATAAATTTCTCAATAAAACTAAAGTTCTTCCTTTGTGTACTCTGATGTCGCTACCGATGGTAGAAGTTCTAAAGTTAAACTGAGCAATTGTTCTACTCAACAAACCGGCAACGAGAATTTTTTCTTCCGGTCTTCTCAATTTTGCTTCGAGAATTTCCAGGCTACCGGTAGTTTCTAAAAATCTAGTTATATTGATTTCAATTTTTCTAAAATAAGTCGAATCTTGAGACTTTGCATTACCGTAAATACCGTATTAGAAAGGCACCCTTCCCATACAAAATTGATCGCCCAAAAAGTTACTGCTTTTGAAAAAGAGCTTGGCTGAAAAGTGCTTAGAATGATGTATATGAATGTTATATATGAATGTTATATATGAATGATGTATATGAGCCGTATGTATAGCCTAGAAGAGTTGGCAGTAAAATTTCAAAGGATCTAAAGAAAATTTTTCAAAATATTTTTTCGAAAAAAAATTGTAAGGGATTCCCTTACCATTTTCGAGAGTCCCACCTTCAGGGGCCAAGACTAAAGAAACTTTCTTGTTTGAAACGTTTTGTCGTTTGTTTTAGAGCATTTCCAATCGAGCTAGGGTGATTTTGAAAGATTTTTGAAAAAAATTTTATATAGTCCCCCTTATGTGATTTTTTGGGGAGTTCGAAAAAGGATAGGGAAAAAATAGAAGAGCATGCCTTTGATTTACAGTATTTACGATAGTTATTGCTTTGGCCGGAAAGTCTTGTCCGTTTTTTCAAATTTTCGTTTATAAATGAATAAAGTTAATAAAGTTAGCCGATCAATGTGTGATTTGTTTTAAATAAAAAAGATTCACTATTAGATTTAGCTCTTTTAGGCAAATTTGAGTCCGCTTTGAAGCAAATTCGAACAGGAATTTCTTAAAGGAGAATTTGTAAATAAACCAGCGGAAAACGCTCACCAACTCACCAACAATCTAAGCCCCGCCCCTTTTTGCCAATGGCTACGCACAGAAGGACAGACGAACGGATGGATGGACAGACAGACGAACGGACAGACAGAAGGACAGACAGAAGGACAGACAGAAGGACGGACAGACGGACGGACAGACGGACGGACAGACGGACGAACAGACGGACGGACAGACGGACGGACAGACAGACGGACGGACACACAGACGGATGGACACACAGACGGATGGGCATACAGACGGACGGACACATAGACGGACAGACGTCGCTTCTGCTTTATAGATAGTAGATAATAGGACTTTCTGATGAAACAAACCGTAAATCGATTGGTTTATTATTCATTTCAAGAAGTAACCTTTAAAAACCGGACAATACTTTTAGGTAAATCTCATAGATCACATAGAAGGGTTAGTGTTTCAGATTTTTCAGAAAAAAACCGAATTAAAGCTGATTTTAATTGTAAGTCTACTATCCTGATCAACTAACCTTTTACTTTATCAAATACATAAACAAGATTTGTGAAGCTGTTGTTGTAATCTTGCATGTCACGACCCGAGACATCATCTCCAAATAATTGTAGAATATCTTGAGGATTTTGAGAAATTTTATATCCCTCGATCAACGTTTCGTACAACTGATTGAACTGATCCTCGCCGAGAATCTCTGTTAAAACTTTTACAGCTTTCGTGAATAGAGAGCAGAGAACTTCTTCTGAAACATTGAAATGTGATTTTTGATTTAAAAAAAGTTCTAGCTTTGTCACTAAAATCTCACCAGGTAAATCACACTCGCTTAGCGCATTCTTTGCTTTATATCCTCCAAGCAAGGTGTTCAACTCCCTCATCCTTCCCTGTCGTCGATTCTTCTCCTCATCTTTCACTTCTGGATCATCCACATCATAAATCATCAATTGAATCACATTTGCGTGATCATAGAGAAATGAAGAGTCAACATTGGGATGTTTTTGTCGAAAAGATTTCACTAACACTTCCGGTTCCTTCTCACTCAACACAAAGTCACGCAATTTCTTGAAAGTGTTCACCATTCTGCATAATTTGTCTGAAAGTCTTATAAACATTAGCATTTCTGTTCAAAAAATTGGAGTTAAACTAACTTGTACACATATACGACTCTAAGAAATCCTCAATCCAATCTTTTTGCATTCGTGTCCAGAGGAGAAGTTCATCATAAATCATTTGAGCTTTTGCTGTAGCAGAATCGTCAACAGTTGCTAGAAAAAAATTTATTTTGTCAATTTTAATGGAATTTATTAACTCACGATCATCTAAAATCTCATAATTAGCTTCAAAAGTCGAAACAGCGAATCGCCACTTTTCTTTGTTCACCAGTGGCTTTAGTCCAGTCAGAAATGAACGGAAATCGCCGGCTTTACTTGGGAGATTTTGCCAGACTTTTCTCCAGGTTTGTTCTAAAAATAAGTTTTTATTGATGTTTTAAATTGTAAATGTTAGATATTGGGTTGGTGAATTGAAAACTGCCGGCTATTGTCATATGTCACAGTTTGAGCACTTTCTTCAAAAGAAACCCATTTCGGTGCCAATGGAAAAGTTGTAGGGAATCAAAAATTAAGCTTATATCGAAATTTTCAGAACGATTAAAAAACTGGTTTTCAAGAAATGCCAAATTTACGAATTTTCACAAAACTTGCATTTTAAGCGAAACTACTAAGTGTATCTTTTTGAAAATTTGGCTATAAGCCTAATTTTTGATTCTCTACAACTTTTTTATTGACACCAAAAATAGGTTTCTTTTGAAGAAAGTGCTCAAACTGGGACATCTCCAGTCCTCCATTTTTGAGTCTCACACTTGTCTCACACACAAACCAAAATCCTACCACGAAAGAGGAATCCGCAAGTCTGCCTGTAAAATGACAACGCGCCCTCATGTTGCAAAACTGACTCGCTCTAAAATAAATGGCCTTGTTTGGGGACTTTTGGCGCATTCCCCCATACAGTCCGGACCTCGCCCCTTTTGATTACTATTTATTCCGGATCATGAGTAATGAGCTTGCGGGAGAACACTTCGATTCGGAAGAAGCAGTCAAAAATTGGCTTTGGAAGTTTTTCGATTCAAAACCAAAATCCTACCACGAAAGAAGAATCCGCAAATTGCCTGTAAAATGGGCAGAAGTGGTCAATAATAATGGAAATTATTTGGAATGAATTCATGGTTTTATGTTGGATAAATTTTAGTTCAAAGTCCCACAGTTTTCAATTCACCAACCCAATGTTAGAAAAATTCTGCGCATTCTTGTTCGCTAACCTTCTGTTTCATGCTGCTCAAACTTCCCACCGCTACAAGCATTTGTTATCAAAAATTGAATACAAATTGTACAGAAAACAATAACTTGAATCATTTTGGAGTAATTTTAAATAATAATCCGATTTATGAATAGAAATTTCCGGTTCGGCGAGATGAATCGCGCTGGCAATTTTCTTGTTTGCTTTTCTCTTTCATGTTGGTCTGAACAGAAGCCAAGTCGATTTGAAATCATGAAATGCTTGAAATGAAAGTGAAACCAAAAGCATAACGAACTTTTAAAAACTTATCTTTTTTATCTAACCAATATTGATCCTATTATTAGTCTCGGCTTTCAATTTCGAGTACTAAATACCAGTCACAAGTATTGGGTCGGTGGATATGACTTGGCATGTCCCTGACTCCCGATTTTCTTAAGTCAACTTTTTCTGAAATCTTTTACTCATAAAAAGTAAAGAGTTGTCCTTTTTTGTGCCAAAGTTTCATCCCGATCTGATGCTCAATTTTGGTACGTCTAGTAATACAATTTTTCATGTAGAAAAGAATAAAGTAAATCGGTTTATCAATAATTTCTCAGGTTTTAAAAGAAGAAATCAGCTTTGTAGATCATTTCAACCTTGATTATTTTAGCCGGTTTCGGTTTAGAAGAAAGAAAGAAAGAGATTTTTACCCCTTTGACTTTTTGTTACTACATACTATTGAAGTCTCTTACCTAGTCCAGCTCTTCGCCATCCCCGGTTTCTCAAGGAATGCCCACCACACGGAGGTGGCTGGACGTCGAGGAGAGCCCTCCCACTCGGCCTAATGGTCGGCCCAACGGGACGGGGGCCCTATGGGGAGGGAGCCCTGACCTAGTTGGGGGGTCCTTCCCTCGGGGCCTAATGGTCGGCCCAGGGGGAGGGAGTGCGGGGACATCACCAAAGACATCACCAACGGCCAGTTGGCCATTTCACGGGTGCTGTTCCGTGTAGTTTTGAGAGAACGTCGACACGGTGAAGACCAAAATGTCCAGCACCCCCACACGTACCGAAGTTTTGCGCCAAATGGGCTACGACGACCTAACCCGTGCGCCAAATGACGATTACCCGGCCGCACAAAGAACATCTCGCCGTTCATTTACAAAAAGATATTCCGGCTTTAAGTTTTTCCCGTGGGTTTTTGGAGTCGGGCATCGATTGGAGCTATTCTTTTATTGAGTTTACCGATCTGAACTGGGGGTTTAATTGACTAAACTTTCAGATTTAATGAAAATCGGCCCAAATTCGTATCCCTCCTTTGAGCAAACTTTTCAACTTGAATACTTGACTGTAAATGCCCTTTCTTTTTTTTGGCAAAGATCGCTTTTGAAAACTATCACAATCCGATCTTCCAGCTAATCATCATTCATTTGATCATTTGCTTGTCCATCTCGGCTTCATCGTGATCGCCAATTGGTTCCTTCGAAGACTTGCCACTGGATTCACCGAAGTTGCTTTGAGAGGATCCAGAAAAGTTCCGAATTCGAGCACACTATCCGCTAGGCCGGCCGGTCATTTATGAATCCCGACGAGGGAAAGCTCAGATCACCGAATTCCGAACATTTTTCGCGCTCTCAATTTTCAAACCTGTTTTTACACGGGTTAAAGGGCCCATTGATGATTACCGCTTTTACACGGGTTGATTTTAAAACTGGGTTTTGCTCGGAATTTTGTGTAGAATCCGATGCACTAGGTCTCGTAGCTTAACTCGATGCTAAGTTGAAACAGTTCCCTAGTTAGAAAGACATAGAAAGAAGAGGATATAAATGAAAAACAAAAGAAGGATTCAAAAGAAAAACAAGAGAAAGAAGACAGATCTGCGACTAAATCGTAAAAATTTGACACTTAATAACCGGCATATATTTTCTTCTTGTTTCTAGATGTTATTGCGTTGGTGGGTATGGCTTGGCATGTCGCTGATTCTCGAGTTTCTAAAAAGTTAAGCCATAACTTTTTCTGAGTCTTTTTTTTGCTCATAACAAGCTTATAACAAGCTGTTCTTTTTTGCTAAATTTTTATCCCGATTTGATGCTTAGCTTTTGAGAGGCAGCCGTTTAACCGAAAATAATCAATTTTGGGTCAGCTCTCAAATCAGTGATGTTCTCAAATCATGTAATGATCAATTTCAAAATCAAGGCAAGTGGTGATTTTAAAAGTACAGCATTTCAAGCTAATAATAAAAATAAATACTAATGTTTATTGGAAAGGAAAAGATTATTGAAAAGAGAAATCCAATGTTACAAAAGAGTTGTTACCGAACAAATACTTCGAAACTGAATTTTCATTAGCAGCAGTTGTTTGGAAGGCCACACCAGTACGGGCACTCCCCGGAGTAACAATTTCCAATGCACGAGTCGGGGCAACAGTCGCTGATCGATGACAACAATCGATGACGATCAGCACGATGAAGAAAGTCGTTTTGGAAAGCTAAGCTAAAAGCGAACATTTTCTAAAAATCTGGCTATACTCTTAACTTTTTATGTTCTATCTTTATTACCCATAAGCGCAAATCTCTGAAGGTCTGCTGTTTAGCATTAGCTTGCTATGCTAATTATGAAGTGATCAGGGTAGCCGATGTGTCAAAATGAAAAAGATGCACAATTCAAAAATATTAGTTTGTTGTTGATAAGAACCGCTTTTTGTTGGACCGCTTTATTCCATTGAGGAAAACTTGCCCTAGAGGGCATTCTACCTATTCGAAAACTCTTTTTTATTCTAATAATTCTGAAACAACTCATGATTTGGCTACTCAACTTCAGTGTAGCCATACTACAATAGAATCTCGATGCAATCGGCTACACGTCCAAGTTTGGGAATTGAGGTTCACACGAGCTCACAGACCACATGAAATGGCAGCAGCTCGAATCTCGGCCCCTCTCTACACACGGCATCACCGCCAATCTTTTCTTTCGCCAATCTTTTTATTGTATTTCATTGAGGAAAACTTGCCCTAGAGGGCATTCTACCTATTCGAAAACTCTTTTTTATTCTAATAATTCTGAAACAACTCATGATTTGGCTACTCAACTTCAGTGTAGCCATACTACCATAGATAACCGTCCATGCAATGGGCTACACGTCCAAGTTTGGGACCTGAGTTTCACACGAGCTCACAGGTCACATGAAATGACAACATCTCTCAATCTCGGTCCCTCTCTACACAACAGTATCACCGATATTTGTTTTTTATTCTGAAAGTTGGGGGTTGCTACTGGCTATACTGGTAAAGTTATTTTTTTGCTTGCTCATTTTTCAAAATTTTTAACATTTTATGAAAGTGTCAGCCGTCGAAAATCATTCCTCGTGGCTCGATGCGGTCGTAAATTAAAATGTTTCTCAAAACCGGGAAACAAAGCTTTTTCACGTCACAAAATCCGTGTAGTTTTCCGCCGTTTCAACGACCGAACACCATCACACACAGGACTTTTGGCGATGGATTTTGAAGAACGAATTGTGATTGTGGGTTCTGCACGTAGACTACTTGCTCTCTTTTTTGAGCTCCTCAAAGTAGAATTCTAAAAGAATTGAAAAAATTGAAAGAAATCACGCAAGGCGATAGCCCTTGAAGTCTCTTGTATGCTTAGGCTTGTGGTTTGTAGATCTTTTAAAATCCCTTCATTTTTACTTCACTGCACATTTGAAGTTTTATTTCTCGTCGATATTTCGTCGAAATTACAACAAAAATGGGGTTGAAACGACCAAAAAATTCATGCGTTCAATTTTAGAGTGATTCTCAAAAAGTCTGTAAAAGTCTAAGCAGTTTGATTCGATGTCGAGGTTACTTTGTATCGCTGAATTATTCTCAATTGGGCGACTCGGCAGATCATTTTGAGCACTTCTCCTCGCATCGACTTGTTAACCATCATGTAGAAAATAGCCATCGAACCTGGAATGATTTTTTCACTTTCCAAATCTAAAAGTAGTTAAAAATATGATTCTATCAAAGGCAAATCTTGAAAATTTTGACGATTTGACATGGGATCATTCGTTGGCTCTCTAGCACTTACTATTCGAGAATTGCCATAAGCCATTGGTGACAAGGTACATGAATGGGGGAAGCTCGATGAATCCCGAGGCGATTGTACAATAGAAAATGCCGGTGATCATCACCGTCGTGGAAATGCCAAAGCATTGAATAGCAATCTAAAACAAAATGCATCGACTTTTCTCCTCAAAGATTCTCTCTGAAAGATCAAAGACAAAGATCACTCACGACTTTTTGTATTTTGCTCGTGTTCGCATTCATCTTTTTATGTGATCGATACATCAAAATCAGCATGAGGCTATTCAAAAACAAGATGCAAATCGACACACCGACGTTGTTATATAAAAATATCCCTGGCATCTGAAATAAAGTCATTTGACAAGGAAAAGGCAAGCTGGCCTTTTCACTCGAGCCCAAGTCCAGCTTATAGAGCCGGTCAGTCGACCACCGGGATTTTGAATCTGTTTTTAGTTTTTTTATGGTCTAGTAGATAATCTGCTAGACTACCGAGCCTATTACATTTTTTGCCCCCAAGTTCGAGTCCCGCTCTCATCAAACTTTTTTGCTTTTTACTTTTTTCAAAAGAGCTCTTTCCTTTTGCAATGAAAAATAGCGTCAAATTTTATGCACCGCTTTCTGTAGCTTTCAACAAATGTGCGAACAAAGGTTACATTTCTCAATTTTTTAATTTTTTAAAATTCAATATACCGTATTTACTCGAATAGAAGACCGGCCTCGATTATAAGACCGTCTCGAATATAAGACCGGTCTTATATTCGAGGTACCCTGTTTTCTATTCTGCGCGAAAGTGGACGTACTCAAATACGAGAAAAGAATAAGGGAATTTACCCAATAGGGTAAAATATTATATTTTCATTCAATAACACTATTTTTTTGATATTGTTCTACATCTTGTATTAATAATTTTTTTTGGTACTTTTCCATTATACCTCCGCCATCTCCACATTTCCGTCATTTTGACTCTGATTATTTTTAATTATTTGATTATCTGATCATTTTTTATCGAAAAACTGGCGGGGTATAACGGAAATGTGGAGTTGGCGGAGGTATAACGGAAAAGTAGCATTTTTTAGGGGATCGGAGGTGCTACGAAACGGAAAGCCTACAGTGCCGCCTTTAAACTCGAGGCCATTCGCTTTTCAAAGAAAAACTCGAAAGAGGCGACTGCTCGATAGTTTAAGGTGACTCCAAAGATGATTCGAGACTGGACGGCAAAAGAGGAGTCGCTGCAAAAGGAATCGAAAGGAGCGAAGCGGTTAAAAGGGGGGGGGGAATGCTTAAATTTCGCGCAGTTGAGGAGACCACTTATCGATGGATCAAAGAAAAACGAGAGGAAAAGCTAAAAGTTTCTCGACGTATGGTTCAGAACAAAGCCAAGGAGTTTTTTCGCGAATCAAACCTTGATTTCACAAAGTCTTTCTCTGCAAGCAATGAATGGCTTGCGAATTTTTTGTGACGGCAAAAAATGACAACAAGGAGTCCAACAGCGAGGATGATCAGATTGTTTGTTTCCGCAATGGGGAAGCTGTTGAGAGTGGTCGATTCAAGCTGGATATTGCAAGATTGGAGGGAAGATTAGCAAAACTTTGTCAAGATATCGACTCCGACGAGGATAGAAACAATGGAGATGAGAGTGAAAACGATTCAATTTCGAGCGCAGAGGGACTTGATGGAATTTGCAAGATCCAGATTTAATAGACGATGACATTGAATCAAGTGAGTATGAAGAATAATGTTGTTATTACTGCTTTTTTATTTTCTTATTAATTGTTGTTAATGTTGTTATTAAAGGTTGTTGTTGTTGATAAATTTTTGTTGTTAAATGTCACAATAAATTTCTATAAAAAAGTTTTTTTTAAACGCTGGTTACTTTCCCGAAAATTTTCGTGAATGCAAATAATAAAAGACCGTCTTGAATAGAAGACCGGCCTCGAATAGAAGACGGGGTCTAGGGGGTGATTGAAAAAATAGAAGACCGGTCTTCTATTCGAGTAAATACGGTACTTATCTACTGGTTCTGATACTTTGGCTGCTTTGAGCTTTTGTCAATTATTTCATGAAGTTACAGAAAGTGGTGTATAAAACCCGAGTCAATAATTCAATGGTTCGATGGCCCAGCAGTCTATTCACTAGGCCACAAGAGCAACTCAACTCTCAATCCATTTCGACACAACGCATTTGAAATTCTAAAGTTTGCTCCAAATTTCTGCATCTGCACCCAGAGCAGTTCTGCAGAGAATTTACGACATGCTTTAGGTTGATTGTTGAAAATTTCGGTTTCGAGCGATTCGTTATACATCTCGAAGTTCGACTGTTTTTATCTGATCAAGTGAAACGTGGCTCACAATGGAATGCTCGGGCTTTGCCGCAAAATAATAGCTGGCCGTGGCGGTGAGATAGACGAGTGGAGGACAAGTGAAGTAGACGACGGCTCCGTAGATGAATGGTGGGAGAATCCACGCCAGCAGTCGCCACCCGCCAAATAGTGTCTGAATTTTATGATCTGAGTCCCTGTAAATGAATGCAGCATTCACACCACGGTGTCGCAATAAAAATGACCTAGGTTTACCTGTTGCAACTGGGGACCCATAAAATCGACACAGCGATTCAGCGCCAACACCACACTCAACGCACAATAGACGCACCAATTGGCTGCAAAAAAAACGAGGTCCTTCGGAAAATTGTGGTAAAACTCACTGAAGCACAAACTTGCAATCCAGAGATTCAGCAGTGGACTGTCGCAAAATGAGTAGCCCATCACCAGAAAATAGCCTTGAAATGTTTTTCTTTTTACAAAAATTCTTTTTTTTGATTCAAACCCGGCAAAATGGAGCTTGGAACCAGGCTGATAACATCGACAAAACCAACGACAAATCTTGAAAAATCGAATCAAATTTGGCTTCCCTCAAAACCTACAATATCCTGTAGCAGATGATTTTCATGAACTTTTGCTGTGCCATTCCAATCAGACACAATGCGTATAAACTGAGGAAGAATGAGCCGACGCTCAGGTAGATTGAACCTAGAGAGTCACGTTAACAATACAAATTGTGGTCCTTGCCAATTTCATCTCCCCAAACAGGGCAATTTACATTTGGGATGTGTGATTTACTTCAGTTGATTGTAGAGACAAGAACGTACCGACATACTTGTTGACCTTATCCACACAAAATTGCGAATGTACATTGTAATAATTGACTCCAATGCGAAAGTTTTTGGTGTGTAAGTGTAACCAAGGTTTTGGACTTCAAATCTCTATATAACACTTCCCACAGTTGAAATAAGTTAGACATTTGCTAGCTGCTTTTACAAAAAGTCATGCCAGAATTTTTGGGACCCCCTATAAATGCAAATTGAATGAAGGGGCAAGAGGGACAAGTTCCAGTATTTCCAAACTCTCCCTTTTCAACAAAAAATTATTGACGATGATCCCCGATTAGACAGACTTGCCTTGAAGGGCATTCTTTGGATGTGGATTGTCCCCTTCAGCACACTCGGCATCCAAACGGAGAACGTCGTCTCCTTTGTAAAGAGCATAGATCTGAAAAATTGATGAAACTTTTAAACCAAACAACTTGCAAAGTTTGGGACACTCTGTATTTGTTGGCTTCAAACCACACCTGCAAAAGAAGGGAATCGTTGAAATAGCGATACTTGGTCATGATTCTCAGCAACAGGCTTAAATGACGACTCGACTCGAGAAGAATTCAACCGTGAGACGCCTTTTAAAGAGACTTAAATGGCAAAAAAAACTAAAAAACCCCAAAATTATTGTGTGAAGTTAATGAAGTGACTCGACGACTAATTAACAGTTTTAAAGAGAATTTCAAAAAAAGATTCCAATGGTGTTCTGTCGAGAAAGTCTGTGAAGCGGAAAATTCGTTGTTTTTGAATGTAGTATGGCCAATACAAAAGCTTTTTTGTCTTTTTTGGATTAGATGACACACAAAAGTACACTTTTTACATTTCACGTATTTTTTTTTGACGTATTTCACGTTAGGTTTGAAAATATGGAATGAGACCTAGACGATCTTGTAGAGTTTTTCAAGCTGATTCCTATGGTTTTTGGTTTGCTCGAAACGCCCATGGACAGCTGGAGCTCAGCGAAACTTTCTTCCAAACTTTGGTTCAGCTTTATCGCTCATATCTATCCCGGACTCCTTGCATCAACGAATAACTGTGTCATAAGTTTCTGGACAATAACATGAAAAAGTCGATCGCCGTCGATCTTTTCTTGTGATTACAGTCAATGAAAAATGGGTGCTATATATCAGCTATCGAATACACAAGCAATGGGTTGCACCAGGAGAAAAAGCAAAACCCGAGCCCAAACTCGAACTCCACCAGAAGAAGATCATGTTGTCAGTTTGGTGGGATAGAGAAGGACCCATTCACTGAGAGTTGTTACCTAAACGGACAACTATTACAGCATCATTATTCACCAATCAGCTAGATCGGCTTGTTGTTGGACTGCAATAAAGAGGCCGAACAAGGAAAAAGTCATTCTTCAGCACGACAACGCCAGGTCACACACCGCAAGTTTGATCAAGGAAAAACTGAAGGCTTTGGGCTGGGAGGTTCTTACATCCCCCATATTCTCCTGACTTCACCCCTTCTGATTTTCATCTTTTCCGGAATATGGCCGCTGAATTGGCGAATGAGCACTTTGATGATCAAGAGGAAGTCGAAGAATGGGTGACCGACTTCTTTGCCCGCTAAACTTTGGCAGAAGGGGATCGACGCTCTTCCATATACAGTGCCGCTCAAAAATAATGGCCCCCTCAAACCTTCAGGTTTGTCATATAAAACAAATAAGCAGAGTCATATGTTTAAAAACAAAATATAGATTTTTCATAAGCATGCATAAATATTTTGGTTTCAGCACATTTTGAATGCTGTCTAAAAACTGCCATAAAATAGAAAACTTAAGGTCGCTCAAAAGTAATGGCCCCCTTGGCAATGCTGTAGAAGTTTTCGAGTTCTAAAGTTATTTACCCAACAAAAACAGATATAACAAAAGCTCAAAAAGAACTAATATTTTGTACTTTGACCGTGTGCACCAATAATAGCTGGCATTCATTCAATAAGCTTTTTGATGACTCCTGCGTCAATTTTTGCCCACTCTTCTTGTAATTTCCGGTTTAAATCATCACTATTTTTGGCTTTATATCCTTGACATTGTTTCTTCAAATAATTCCATACATGCTCAATAGGATTGGCATCGGGGCTTTGAGCAGGCCATTGAAGAACGGACACGCGATTTCGATTGAACCAAGTTTTGATCCGTTGGGCTGTGTGTTTGGGGTCGCGATCCTGTTGAAAAGTCTATCCGTTAGGCAAATTTTGCTTAACATAAGGCAACATATAATTTTCCAAGATATCCACATATTTTTCGGCATTCATGATGCCCTTTATGCGCATGAGTGGACCAACTCCCGAACCCGAAAAACATCCTCAAAGAAGTACCGAGCCTCGCCCGTGTTTAACTGTTGGAATATTGTACGCCTCAACGTCCCGTGTGTTCTTTGGTCGTCGAATCCATTGTATTCCGTCAGAAGAAAACAAGTTGACCTTCGTTTGGTCTGAAAACAAAACCGTCGCTCAATCATCCACATTCCAATTTCGGTATTTCTTGGCCCAACCCCAACTTAGGCGTTCCTTCTGATTCTTCTTTGAGATAAGCGGCTTCTTCGAGCCATGTCGACCAAATAATCCAGAATCAACAAGTCTTCGCTTTATAGTAGAAATGGAAAGTTGAACACCATCGGGATGTAAAGTATTTTGTAGAATTTCTCTTGCCGTTAAACGGGGATTCGATTTACTTTCACGAACGAGCCTTCTGTCATATCTTTCGGCAGTAATCCTGTTGCGTCCTTTCTTGTACTCGAACTCCAAAACCTTTTTCTTTTTGTAGAGTGGATTCAAGCGCTTTGCCATAGTGTATGGGATTCCAGAGCTTCTTGCCTCTCTTTTGACACTGGATCCAGAGGAAACCTTATCGAGAAGAATTTTGCGTACAGCAAGCGGATAATATTTTTTGCCCATATCTAAAAAAATCAAAATAAATTAGAAATAAAACTATAAAAATTTAAAAAAATGACTTATGAAAGTTGTTCAACACAAACGCTCAAGGGGGCCATTACTTTTGAGCGACCTTAAGTTTTCTATTTTACAGGGTGCGTCATAATTATTGCAACAAGAGTTCAAAGACCGTTTTAAAGAAGAAAGTTTTAAGGAAGAATGTGATGTCATGGGCGTGTAAAGCCAATAACAATCAAAATTGGACCTTCATGCAAGATGGAGCTCCCGCTCACACGAAGAAGACGGTTCAGGACTGGTGTGTGGCCAACTTTCCCTCAGTGATCACCAAAGATGAATGGGCTCCAAACTCACCGGATCTCAATGTGATAGACTTTTCCATTTGGGCAATCTTAGAGGCGAATGTCTGCTCTCGAAAACACACAAGTTTGGATTCTTTGAAGAAGTCTTTGAAGTCCTCAAGATGACATTCGAGCCGCAGTGGAGGCATATCCGAACCGATTAAGGGCTGTTATCAAGGCAAAAGGCGGTCATATCGAATGATCTCTTGTTTCCTTATTTGTTACTGTTAAATAAAGCTATTTCTGTTTAAAAATCTTCTTCCAGTGAAACTTCTTGGTGTGCAATGCCTTGAGTATCTTGTTACAATAATTATGACGTACCCTGTATGGCAGTTTTTAGACAGCATTCGCTCAAGTTTCCCTGAGTCTTTGCACATTGAACTGTCAAATTTTTCAATTTGTTTTATATTTCTAGACATGTTTTTTTAGAAACTTTTTGTCTATACTTTTAGATACAACTTTATCCATATAACCAACAAATGAAGATTTGAGTACCGAAATGTCTGTCTTTAATCGATCAGAGAAACCTTTATTTTTAAAAAATATTCCGGTATCTTGCTTATTTGACTACGGTAGATGCAAATCGGAGTACCACAATACAATATTGATGTTTTATTAATGTTTTCCCTGCCACCGTCTGATCACTGCATAATCATTGTCATGAATCGCTATCCAGGGTGCGCCAAAAATTTCTCAAAACACTCATGGCCAGCTGGGGCTCAGCGAAACTGTGTTCAAAATTTGGGTTCAGCTTTACCGGTCACATCCCAGACGTCTTGCATCAACGAATAACGGTGCCATAAGTTTCTGGACAATAACATGAAAAAAGTGAGTCTATGGGTTGCTTTATTTTGATTAACTGCAAAATATTTAAAATATTCAGCTTTCGTTCATCGGGCTCATCGCATGAAACAGAACCAGAAAGCGTGAAGGATTCCTGGAAAAAGGTTGAAATGTCAAAAACTTGAAGGTAAATCGGCATTTCCGGCAAGGGCTTTTCAAGTAAACGGGAAATTATCTTATCAGAGACAGAGTTAATGGATCCATGTTTTCTAGTTATGGCCAAAAAGTACTCACGTTCTCAATCGATTACAGACTTTTCCCTTATGGGATTCACCCATGATTAACAAATTCTTCCTATGAGATTAGCTTGGAAATCTGGCTTCCTTCGGGTTCGCTTTAAGCAAATTTTGCTAGATTTAGCTGTTTGTAAAGCCGGACCCTAATCACATAAGAAGAATATCTCATCAAGGCGATTTTATGAGGCGAAAACACTATAATCGATTAATTTCATAGAAAGGTAGCTCCAACTCACCGCCAAGCCAGAAGCAGAAGATACAGAGAAGCAGGTTGATCAACACGTTGATGTCACATTGCTTCGTGTGCCAGTAGACACCGAGTGGCTAGAGAAATTGAATTTTGTTATGCTTGAAGATTTGGTGTTTTTAGTTGGAAAAAGAGCTGGGCGGATTGGAAAATTCGATCTGAATTAGCGGGGTTTTCTGAAATTTCGATCCGGATGGTCCGGGTTCGGTTTCCGCCCAGCTCTGGCTAGAAGCAGAAGCTCAGCTCTGGTTAGAAGCTCAGCTCTGGTTAGAAGCTCAGCTCTGGTTAGACGCTCAGCTCTGGTTAGAAGCTCAGCTCTGGTTAGAAGCTCAGCTCTGGTTAGAAGCTCAGCTCTGGTTAGACGCTCAGCTCTGGTTCGGGGCAAATGTATGCCACACACTGTATACAGAACTCTGTATAAAACGTGACCGCGATTTTTTAGAGAAGACATAAATCCAAAAACACAAAGTATCGATCACTCTGCGTGTATTTTTTTCTTAGATTCGCACAAATCAAAATGAATTCGAAAATAACCAACCGGTAGGAATATGCACAAAATAATTTCGATGATTTCATCGTTTGACGCCATTGCTCCACTTTAAGTGAAATTTCAAACAGTTACCAATACGAGAAAAATGTATTTAGCAAAAGAAAGTCTGAAAAAGGAAGGAGACGAAGGCTCTTGTTTGTGTTATCGAAGAGTTTATATTTGCTTTTCCCTGTGAGCCAGCAAATTCCAAAGGATTTCTGACCACGTAAAAGGACAACTCACACTTCCGCCCTTTATCAGTCGATATTGATTCCAGCTCGCAATCGGAACAAGGAAGACGAGAAGAAATGATAGTTCAATTTGACTAAAACAAATATGACTAATACGACTAATATGAGTTTAATATAAATATGCAACTGATGTCCCACAAGTCATTTCCCCACAAAATATATCTATATTTGTAAGTAATTTGAAGTTTTGTACAAGAGGCGCTTTTGGCTATTGTCACCCCCAAATTTGAGGTTCAAATGAAATTTTATTTAAATCTTTTTAAACTCTTAGACTCTTTTGGTGCTTGATTGAAAAATTGGAAATTGGAGAATTCGAAACATGCCTAGGATTACCAATGATTTTTTGCTCAATTTCTAGATGAAAGAAAGCGCAGAAGATTATTATTTTAGATTCGACGAATCCCATCTCAATCCATCGATAGCGGACCATTGGAGTAGACGAGATTATGCCATTTCGGATTGCCATAAAGTCACACTAAAATGACCAAAAAAAATACGACTTCTGGAGAATTCTAAACCGCACTTCTGGTTTGGCGTGAGCTTTTGAAGCTTTGGGAAGTAGGGTGTGCTCCTATTGAGTAAGTACAGTCGACGCTCGATAGTAAATCACTCAATAGTAAATCACTCGATAGTAAATCACTCTAGACAAAACAAGGCCTAATTGTAAATCTATAATACAAGGGCAAAAGCTCGATAGTAAATCACGCTCGTTAGTAAATCACGCTCGTTAGTAAATCACTTTTGGAGAATTCCTTCAATGGTAAACACGTGTACTTAACGTTTGATAGTAAGTCATTGATTTTTAAGGAAAATTTTGCATTTACAACTGCAAAATTTACATTTTATTTAGGATTCAACCAAAATATTCAGCCAAACGATTGAAACCGAAAGCGAAAAAGAGCATTCGACGGCAAATTCATTCATTCGAATCCATTTCATTACCTATTATTGACATGATTAGGCAAAACTCTCGAGAGTAAATCACGGTTGATAGTAAATCATTTTTGGAGAATCCCTTCAATGATTTACTATCGAGCGTCGGCTGTACTTTCCCTTAAAGCAACCGATTGTGGCCTAGCGGTTCGTATGCCGGTGCTTTTTCCAAGATATTCAAAAGAAAGCTTTTGTTGTTGCTGTTTTTATTGAAAATTTGTCTGATTTTAGGACATATTTTATTGTGAAATTTATTACAAAATTTTTTATCATATCTTTAATAAACTTTTAAAATTCTACCCTAACCATCATGGAACATAATAAAACAGTGGTGAAAACAAAATCGATCTTTACACCAAGCACACAGAAAGAATCCTCGATAAGTGCAATTGGGGACAACAAAACCGAAGATCGTTAAAGATTGTTCAACTTAATAATTGCTTTATCGCGCGGTATGATCAGCGTCTAAAGCAGAGAGACTAATTGAATCGTCGGTAAAAATTGAATAAATTAATTGAATCGTCGGTTTTTTCCTCTTTAAACTGTGGGCTCATGATTAATATTTTTCTCAATCGTCGGTTTTATTTCGCTGAATCGATCTACTATGTATACAGAGTCGGAATCGATAACGGCTAAACTCTATCGATTTCACGAGCTACTTATCGTCGTGTTATTGGCACTTGCACTAGAAGGTCTCTTGGTCGTTTCCTTTTGGGATAAAGAAAGGGAATAATATGAGATAAGATGAGTACGCTGAGATGAGTACACTGAGATGAGTACTAATTCAGTTCATAGCTCCTAATTCAGTTCATAGCTCCTAATTGTAAATCTAATTGTACGCTTAATTTCAGCAATCTATTCGCTTTCCTATTATGGCTATATGAACTACATTCCACCAATGTACAACGTGACGAATGGTGACAACATGACCGATTTGGTTGATCTGCGATTGGACATTGACTGGGATCTTCAAGATTTTATAGATAATATAATGATTATTATCACTTTCACCGTAAGCTTCACAGTAATTTTATGACATTCCACAATGAAAAGCGTACGTTTGAATCTCATTCAGATAACATTCGCAAGTCTTCTCATCTTCCCCTTTGCCATCTATTTCTCAGCAACGAACGATCGATTATCGTTGCCGATCAGGTTTTGGAGTTCCTTCATTATTCAAAATAGTAATTCATGCCCCTTTACCCTTAAAGAGACTCTTAAACTACAAAACTACAATAAACTACAGTGTGATACTCTATGAAGCTTCGTGTGAAGTTCTCGCTCGAATTTTTAAGCCTGAATCTTTTAAAAGTTTGGAGCTCAAATAACAGTTACAGCGAAATACAAGGAAAAAGAAAAAGTCACCAATTTTCTTGCCAAACGCTGAAGGTAGGCAACGAAAAGCTCACCGTAACAAGTTGCTTTCAGAAAGAAACAAGAAATAAGAAACAAGCAAAGATATCAAAACAGCCTTGGACAATGACTAAACTTGCAGACTGCTGGCCACTGCGGAGAACAGCACGAAATTCGTCTATGCGATCGGTTACGTGTTTGCCTATTATTGCTTCCTTTCCACTTTCTTCCCGGATTCCCCCATCACCTGTTCGGATGGCCTACTAACTGTCAGCTACGACTTCTACTCGTACACATATTATAGCTACAATCTCTACGATGTGGCTCAATATTATCAACTGTTAATCTCAGTCAGTCGATTCTTCGTGCTCGCACTTGATGGAGTCTATTTTCGATACACAATGAAGCTCCCGATTGTACAATTGGCAGTGCCGTTTATTGTGCGCGTCGGCATCGAGGGGATCAAGACGTGGATCAACGATGAAGAATTGGATTACTATCTTTTCAATGGCTACCTTATTCCGTTTCCTGCATTCTTGATGTGCGCCTTGGACTTTATGACAAACAGGAAATTGAAAAAGGTGAGTGTGGAACCGGAAGGGGAGGGCTGAATTAGCCAACTTGTAGAGAATAGTCGCTTTTTATAAATGTTTAATCATTTACATGTTTGTTCATTTACATTTACGTCATATAAATGTTTAATCATTTACAGCTGAAACGCAACGGGAAAGTGTCTCGGTGTGAATGCCTGCTGATGTACCAAGTGCGTTGAACCAGAGCTGCCTTGTCTCCTAAAGCAAAAGCCTTTTAGATGATAACCAACTCTTTGCTCACCCTTGTTAACACTATTGGCTACTATGCTCTCGGTTTCTTTCTCCAGATGTTCATCGGCTATAATCTGAACTACCTGTTTGGTGAAACGATCGTTCTAATACAGGCGCTGTTCTTCAGCCTATTTGCCAGGTAAATTTGACTTCCCCCAGTAGCCACTGCCTATCATAGGGTCCATTGGCATTTCTTGTTGATGCAGTAGACATGTGCAGAAATATCTATTGCTATGTTCTCATTTCTCTAAGACCAATCTCTGGCATTTGCTTCATTTTGATGACCTCGAAACTTTGAATATTTCCCCCGAGGTTGCCCTTAAATATGAGCTGGAATAGATATGAGCAAAACACGAATAGTTCAGTGTGTGTAAACGAATGAAAAAAGCCACAGTAGATCTAATATATTTACACCACTCATGGACTCTGTGGTGGGCAGTGAATCCTGGAAAAGAACCGTGGACCGTTTAGGGTAACAATAGATATTAAATTTGACCAGTTTCAGTATAATCAGTGCTTTGTGCCTTCGGAAACGGCCCGAAAAAGCACGATCAGAAAACGGCAGAACAGTCATTACGGTCGCCAGTGCACCAGCATCAATGATGCATTGATTGTCTACCAATTTTTAAATTCCATGTAATAAAGTTTTGTGGATTTCTTTTTTTTGACCCACCAACTTATTTGGTCCAATTTTGGGAGCATAAATTCGTTTGTTTCCAGGATTTACCGGAAAAAAAGACATTAGGTAGAATGGTGTTAATATAAAGGTCCTGTTTCAAAAAAAGCTCGAGCTTTAATGTTTGCTTTATTGAATTGTAGAAAGTTGTTTTTTGTTTTTGATAAAAGCTTTTTGTTGTTGTTTTTTTAATTTTTCCTCCGGTCCATTGTCGATTTGACCATCTTCAGTCAAAAATGACAAACACAACAATTTGCATGTAAGTTGTACTATTAGGGACTTGCAAAAGAAATTGCGGATTATAGCCAACATTTGAACAGCCCAAAATTCAATAAGAAAACAACTTTATTCCAAAAGGTATTTGTCAATATTATCAACCATGTTCTTAAATTTTTTGCGTAGACTTCGGATGTCTGATTCGAAAAATTCGGGATCCCGCGACACAAAGTAGTCTTACACACAAATTTTGGCTTCTTCAAGATTGTTAAACTTTAGATTTGCAAGAGAGTGTTGCATAGACAGGAACAAGTGGTAATCTGAGGGAGCAACATCAGGCGAATAGGGCGGTTGAGGCACAAGTTTCCAGCCTAATTCTTCTATGGTGTTTTGACCCAATTTTGATGTGTGTACCCGGACATTGTGAGCGAGTAAATGGATTGTCCTTGGATTAACACCTCTTTCTCGTAGAATTTCATCAACTTTCTTCAGCTGTTCGGCGTAGATTATGAGAAGTTATAGTTTTTGAAGATTTTCGTAATTCAAAATAAACGATTCCTTTCATATTCCAAAAGACCGATAGCACAACAAATACAATATCCATGAGGCTCGTCTTCCAAGCTGTCATCCCCTTCACGAAAACGTCGAAACCATTCCTGGCAAGTCCTTTCACTCAAAATGTTTTCTCCGAATGTTTCACAAAGATTCCGGTGCGACTTCGATGCTGATTTCTTCATTTTGAGGTCATAGAGAAGATACGCCCGCAACACGAGTTTTTGATCCGTCATCTTGGACCTAAGATTATGTAATATTTAATGATAGCAATAGTTGTGAAAATAATTAAAATGAATAAGCAATAATAATACAATATAATACAATTTAAACCGGACCATCACACTTTCAAATAAAAAAAACTTTGGTCCTCGGAAGTAATCCGCAGTTTCTTTTGCAAGTACCTAATATTTTGAAATTTATTCGTGGTTCCTACAAAAATTCATCCGATGGGTGCGACCCGTGACGTGAATACGACTTTCTCGCTGATTTTCATAAAATAAGCAATGAAGAAATTGTTTGAATGGGATCTAAAATCATGTTTGATAAGGGCATTCTTTTCCGAATCAAACTTTCGACTCTCGCATTTCCATTGTGATCGATAGCTGTTGAAATAGAGATCATTTGCCTGTTTCTCTTCCTGCATCAAACGCTTCGTGCGAACCATTCGATTTTCCTCGCTTATCACAATAATCCAATAGATTATCCACGGAGAAATCGCAGTGAAATACATTTGACACTGAAAAACCGCAATTTATTCTTGGTTTCTATTCACAAATTTCCTGCTAAACTTTTGTGCATTCTGTGCATTCACTCATGTTGTCTAGCTGATTGTCTCTACTTTAAGAATCCAACGTCAATTGCTTATTTCTAATACTGTATTTACTGTTCGATCTGCCCTTAGTAGGGAAAAAAGCTTTAACCCTTGGGCTACTAAGTGGTAAAGTAATGAAAATAAAGTAATGAAAGTAATGTAATGAATAGTGTCAGCTCCGAGCGAAACTGATATTTTAGTTACTATTGTTATTATTGAATGATTTGTCTATTCTTATGCAAATGTGCTCCCCTATGCTTATCCCTTTTATTGCCGAGAAGGGGCGGTCCTTGGGACTGTCTAGGAGGACAAGTGAGATTCTCATTTGGAGCCCCCCCCCTTCCCCTTACACTCATTTCTAATCTATTCATCTTATTGTATTACTGTAAGTAAAGATACATATCTTCCGGGTCTATGCAACTGCAGTACAGGTCGGTCATTTCACAGGGACTCCCCTCTAATACGTTGGAGGAGTTGAGTTGGGTTGTCGGGGTGTTAGAGATGGCAGGATATCATAAGGGATCCACTCTCTTTAACTTAACCCAAATTCTAGTCCACATCCGTTTATACCTAGGAACGTATAATAGTAATAAATGGTAAAGTAATGAAAATACTTACAAAAATGAATCCCCCGGCCGCCGAGTATGTTGGCTCGGGCGGATTTAGATATGTTCGATACGCCAAAAAGAGGAATGTGTACGCGAGAAAGGTGAAGGCGTGAAGGAAGCTGAAATTTTTGAATTTATTCACGGCATCGACTTCCACAATATTGTTTGTTATTTTTGTTTTAACAAAAACTCCCTTCTCCGATTGATCTCTTTGTTTTTGTGTTTTCTACAAAAGGAAACGGCAACGTTTTTTTTGCTCATAAATTATCGGGGGAAAATTCAAATTCATCCACTTGAAAATCAGCCCTTGAGGCAATGCAAAAGAAAGAAAGAAAAGAAAGGGAAACGGAGAAATGCATATCATAAACGTATTTGCTCAAATAAAATTGCAGCATTTCCCATTTTTCCACCTGCCGCAGACGTCAAGTTTCTTAGAGCAAATACGGTTTATAAATTCACGGCTTATCAGCACATTTCACCCACGTATATGGCAAAAATAATCGCATCGTTGAGACCAACTGCCGGCGCGTAAGGTTCACCGACACATCGAATGATCGCTTCACCCTGAAATGGGGACGCGTTTTTCAAAATTCAAAAAGCAAAACATACCCATTGCACCGATTACACTACATTTTTGTGCATAACTTTTTACGATATACACATCTTTTAATGGTTTTCCGCTGCAAATGCCTGCGAAATCACCTCATACCAAAATCGCATTTGCGTGTTAACCCACTTTTGCTTCTATTTGTTGCTGCCACCGAGAAAATGATGCGATGAGGCGATTTCGCAGGCACCCGAATTTTAGGGCTCATTTTTTATGCGTTTCTTGTTTTTCTTGGGGGTGGGACAAATGCGACCTTTTTTTTGCGCACCTGGACATTTGCGCACCTTTTTTTTGCTGGAAAAAGCCTTAGGAAAGGTCGTAGAGCTTCAAAAATGTTTTCATAGAAGGGAATCGTATGCGTAGATTCCGAATTTCGACAAATCAGACCTCGCTGACACGTCAAATTTGGGCTAAAAGGCAAAAACTACGCAACTTAACGCTTTTCCGCAGTTTTTGCCTTTTAGCCCAAATTTGACGTGTCAGCGAGGTCTGATTTGTCGAAATTCGGAATCTACGCATACGATTCCCTTCTATGAAAACATTTTTGAAGCTCTTCGGCCTTGCCTAAGGCCTTTTCCAGCAAAAAAAGGTGCGCAAATGTCCAGGTGCGCAAAAAAAGGTCGCATTTGTCCCACCCCCTTTTTCTTTGTTTTTTTGTGAATACTGCTCTTCATTTTCATTACACTTGCCGTCATCTTACGATTAATTTATTGGCTGAATATCTTTAATTGGTGCGCAAAAAGGTGGGTACCCACCGATGCTCTTGGTCATACAAATAGAGTAAAAATAAGGAGAGAACGATTGTCACTATCTCCATGGCGCCGGTTATTATCGATTCGGTGTTCGATTGTGTTGTTGAGGCTTTACAATAGGCGACTTGAGAGTCGAGAATCGTGGCTCCAGTTAGTTTCCAATAATATTCCAGGCCAGAGAGAGCAAACTGAAAATAGTGATTATTATCTCCAAATACAAGCAAAGCGGTTCAGCATGCTAGACACGCGGAAAATCTAAATGCGATTAAATACTGACCGTTTGAGGCTCTAAAACAACCAAAATATACCAAAATATAGTAATTTTTTAGAGCCCTTTTCACCTATGGCAGCTTTTTCTGCTTAACTGTGGCTAGATTTGGGTATTTTCACATGTTCTCTTTCATATTGTAAAAAAATTTGAAGAAACATTGTTTTAGCTTCGGGTTTTTTAGCAACTCGTAATCAAAACAGAGTACCGTATTCTCTCTAATAGAGGTGCACTCTTTAATAGTAGTGCACTCTCTAATAGTATTGCGGTCCAGGAGGGGGTTGAAAAAATAGTAGTGCGCACTACTATTAGAGAGAATACGGTAATCAACTCGCACAGCAAAACCGGTGAGCACACGTCGAATCGTAGTCTCTCTTCTCCGAATCTTGGCACCACCAAAGAACGAGAAGACTCGAAAAATGGTCAGCATCAAATTCAGCATTGGTAGGCTGAATATGGAAAAAGTGACAGCAAATCTCAAATGAAAACACGTCGCAAAAGGCATTGTGGCCTGACACGGCGGACGGGTTGAATGAAGGAAAAGGAGAGCTCCCTGCGATTTAAATTTGGAATCTTGAAAGATTTTGATTCTTCACTCGAAATTTTTGATTGATTCATCAAATTGAATTTTTGATTGATTCATCTTAACGTATGCTAGTATACAGTCGAGTATGACGATATAGACTAATGGACAATGAAATATCATATTTGAAAAAAGATCGTCACTTTCGCGCGTCTGTAACTCCCTTGTCTTTACCGCATTTCTAAATATTAATATTACCATTGTGTAGCCCTTGAAAAGAGCTTTCAGAAAATGTAGAACACTAATAGTTTAAACTCAAAGACATGGGAGTTACAGACGCGCGGACGTGACGATCGTTTTTCAAATATGATATTTCATTGTCCAGTACTGTAACTTAAATTTTATAACGTAAATTTTTTATTAAACAATCTAACTTTGATAAATGCATCATATTTTGATTCTACTGAAACCTCTTTACTCTAAGAGTCACAGAATATTGAAATCAATCGAAAGAAAAACCCTAACCATCGAAGAAATCATGGTAATCGCTTGGATCACGTGAATAAAATAACAGCATATCAGATGTTCTTTAAAAGTCGAGTCTAATAAGATCGACGAGAAAGTTCGTTTCCATGTGGCCATAATCCCGAAAATAGCCATCAAAGAAAATAGGATCCCAGCACTCAGCATCACTTTCATAAGGGGATACGTTGAAAACATGGAAATCGACGGACAATCACTCGAATTCATTTTTTATTTTGCTTTTCAGCCATCACCTTTTCGATGAGGCTACTTCTAAACGAATTTTATACTCGCTAGTTAGTGTTTGTCACGCTGGCTAATTATTTTATGCCTCATAGAGGTCCCTGGAGAGTTTTCAATTAGAAAAAAGTTTTCTAAGAAATTCTCTTGAGTCTTGAGTTTTCCGAGAACGCATTTGACTAAAAAAAGCACAAATTATAAATCATATAGAAAGTTAGCAAGAAGGTTTGTTGGTTCAAGATCTCTGATCTTCGATCTACACTCTAGTATAAGATACTATAAGAACTATAAGAGAACTATAAGATTTTTTACCCCCGAACTTCATCAAATTTCTCGTGACAGAAAGTGTATATAATAAACCTAGTAGTAGATTGTAAATTAAAGCTCAACTTTCAAAATACGTCTTTATCTCAAATCTCCTTCTCCGATTCTTGGGCTACGCGGCAAAGAAGTTGCGGAGCTAATTTTCGACCTCGAAGGGGTCTCCGAAATGCTCCCCATCGAGTTCTGCAGCCAGCCTGATTTGGCCATGTTTTGGCCAATTTTTGGCCAATTATGATTTTTTCGGTGACCCGATCCGGCTGCTTTGATTACAAGGAAGCTATGACAGTCGTGCCTTCAAGTAACAATAAACTACTTCGCTCAGATCCCACCAAATGCATAATGAACCATGTCAACCAGTTCTATTCTAAATTTTAATATCAGACGGGATCTATCTACTCTATTTCTCTAATAGGTGCCTTTTTGAGCCATACATAGCAAATAGTCAACATCAGACGCGAGGAATTGGAATTTTTATTGATGATTGAATCTTTATAATTGGAAGAAAAATAGTAATTAAAAAGTGAAAAGTGAAAAACGGAAGGAATCGCAAAATGCTTTAGAAAATCGGCATCGAACACTATTATTCTTCTTCACATTGACTTTCCGGGGATCATTGACTTCTTTGTCGTGGTCCTATTGATCAATACTCCACGACGATAGACTGCAACAGTTTCTTCCCATTCGACGCGCCTCATGGGCTGCCCGGTTTTGTATAGAGCGTACAAAGCTTCAGTCAACGCTACCCATTCTGCTCCAGTCGAGATGTCCGGGAGCTCAATGGTGGCCTCGGTGGCCTGTCTCGCCGAAACATAGTCTCTGAAGTCCTCTTTTGCCTCCTGTGCTCGTTCACCGTGCATCGTTATGAGCGCAAGCTATAAAGAGAGCACTTTAACAACAAGCATGATTTTCCGGGAATTTGGGCTTAAAATACAATTATCCCGAGACCCCATTGATGGAATTTTCGAGTTGTAACTTACGAGGGAATGCTGCTTATTTAACCCCTTTCAGATCCATACTTAAGTCAGAAGTACAGTCGACGCTCGATAGTAAATCACTCGATAGTAAATCACTCTCGATAGTAATTCACTTTTGAAAACTCCCGACAAAACCCTTAAGAAAATCCAAGGGCAAAAGCTCGTTAGTAAATCACGCTCGATAGTAAATCACTTTTGGAGAATCCCTTAAATGGTAAACACGTGTACTTAACGCTTGATAGTAAGTCATGGATTTTTAAGGAAAATTTTGCATTTACAGCTGCAAAATTTACATTTTATTTACGATTCAACCAAAATATTCAGCCAAACGATTGAAACCGAAAGCGAAAAAGAGCATTCGACGGCAAATTCATTCATTCGAATCCATCTCATTACCTATTATTGCCCAGTTTTTAGTAAGTCAATCCCAGCTTTTTTGAAACAGGACCTTTATATTAACACCATTCTAGCTAATCTCTTTTTTTTCCGGTAAATCCTGGAAACAAACGAATTATGCTCCCAAAATTGGACCAAATAAGTTGGTGGGTCAAAAAAAAGAAATCCACAAAGGGAAAGGCGAAAAGTTGGATTCGACAAAGGCTTTCCCTATTATGTTCACATAGAATCATAGTTTAAAGCTTTCTGTGTTATTGGAAAGAAAAGAAATAAAACTTTATTACACGGAATTTAAAAATTGGTAGACAATCAATGCATCATTGATGCTGGTGCACTGGCGACCGTAATGACTGTTCTGCCGTTTTCTGATCGTGCTTTTCCGGGTCGTTTCCGAAGGCACAAAGCACTGATTATACTGAAACTGGTCAAATTTAATATCTATTGTTACCCTAAACGGTCCACGGTTCTTTTCCAGGATTCACTGCCCACCACAGAGTCCATGAGTGGTGTAAATATATTAGATCTACTGTGGCTTTTTTCATTCGTTTACACACGCTGAACTATTCGTGCTTTACTCATATCTATTCCTATTATCTAGACAAGAACCTCATATCATAAATGTTTACATAAAGGCAACCTCGGGGGAAATAGTCAAAGTTTCGAGGTCATCAAAATGAAGCAAATGCTAGAGATTGGTCTTAGAGAAATGAGAACATAGCAATAGATATTTCTGCACATGTCTACTGCATCAACAAGAAATGCCAATGGACCCTATGATAAGCGGTGGCTACTGGAGGAAGTCAAATTTACCTGGCGAATAGGCTGAAGAACAGCGCCTGTATTAGAACGATCGTTTCACCAAACAGGTAGTTCAAATTATAGCCGATGAACATCTGGAGAAAGAAACCCAAAGCAAAGTAGCCAATAGTGTTAACAAGGGTGAGCAAAGAGTTGGTTATCATCTAAAAGGCTTTTGCTTTAGGAGACAAGGCAGCTCTGGTTCAACGCACTTGGTACATCAGCAGGCATTCACACCGAGACACTTTCCCGTTGCGTTTCAGCTGTAAATGATTAAACATTTATATGACGTGAATGTAAATGAACAAACATGTAAATGATTATACATTTATAAAAAGCGACTATTCTCTACCAGTTGGCTAATTCAGCCCTCCCCTTCCGGTTCCACACTCACCTTTTTCAATTTCCTGTTTGTCATAAAGTCCAAGGCGCACATCAAGAATGCAGGAAACGGAATAAGGTAGCCATTGAAAAGATAGTAATCCAATTCTTCATCGTTGATCCACGTCTTGATCCCCTCGATGCCGACGCGCACAATAAACGGCACTGCCAATTGTACAATCGGGAGCTTCATTGTGTATCGAAAATAGACTCCATCAAGTGCGAGCACGAAGAATCGACTGACTGAGATTAACAGTTGATAATATTGAGCCACATCGTAGAGATTGTAGCTATAATATGTGTACGAGTAGAAGTCGTAGCTGACAGTTAGTAGGCCATCCGAACAGGTGATGGGGGAATCCGGGAAGAAAGTGGAAAGGAAGCAATAATAGGCAAACACGTAACCGATCGCATAGACGAATTTCGTGCTGTTCTCCGCAGTGGCCAGCAGTCTGCAAGTTTAGTCATTGTCCAAGCGCATCACTCTGAAAACCCAACCGTTCCACTTCGATCTCTCTTGTGCCTTTGCATTTTTTATAAATGGCTATTCAAGCAACCTTGAGATCTACTCGATATCCACCTGTATCCGATAAGTATTGAGCTTTTTTCGAAATACAGAAACGTTTCAGCGAGTAAATAGAAAAGGTGATTTTTGATTATTTCCAATCCAAAAAACTGATCACCCCACAAGAGCTGATAAAAAGATTTCTGGTGCTTCAAACTCTGATCGTGTGTACTTCGTGTATTTTATAATCTAAACTTGCGAATAAATACATTATGAAGACCGTCTTCAAAATGGGAAGCCAAAATGGGAAACCAAAGCAAAGCTATTTTTTGCTATCATTCGATTCAGAATCGGGCTTGCTCTGCAACTTGGCGCACTTCAAAAATAATGTAAATAGAATGAAATATATTAAATAAGACTATGACAAGACTTTCTCTGTTTGTGCAAAACCGCATTTTAGACTGTTTCTCTGTTTCGACCAATGGAAATAGCTATCTCTATTAGGCTGGACCTGTAAGAAATATATGTTTATGTTTTGATTTATATAATTTCTTGTGAGACCGTGTCTCGGTGTGGTTCAATAGTGGTCTTCTTGAAAACGCACAATTTATCCAACTTTCCCTTGTTAGGGCAACTTCGCTCAAACTGGAGCAACCTGGCATTATCACAATTAATTCAACACTTGCATGTGAAAAAAAGGATGATAAAGAGCAAAAAAGCAGAACAAAAACCCACTCAAAAGCAAAGCTTGAAAAACGGGTTTTTTAAGTATACAAGCTACAACAAACGGACAGCTGAATATCGTCTAGTGACTGATTACGGTAGTTTATCCATCAACTTTAAATTTTAACCTGTGTATTGAATTTTTGACTAACTGCAGAGCAGTGGCAATTCGCCACAGGACCATCGAAGCTTCAACAGGGGCAAAATTTCTGAATCCAACCGTCATATATCTATGTGCTTAGTGACTGGGAAATGAAGAGAATGACTGACTTGGGCGAACGTTTTTTTTCCAATTTAAGGAAGTTTTATATATTCAAATAAATCACATATAATCAAATAAATCAGCTGGAAGTCGATCTTTTGTTGTTCCACGCAAATCGTGAATTGAAGCCTTCCTCGCGCCCCACGTCGCTTCCACCTGTAATTATCGAGCTTATGTTTTAAAGATTTCATTATACTTATATGATAGTGGGTCATCTGGGTCGACAAACTGGAGCTTGGGATTGGCCCAACTATGGTCGCATTGAAGTTGATTCTTAAGTAATTCAACAGCACAGTCAACATATAATTGGAAGGTGGAAGCGACAAGATTTATTTGATTATATGTTTAGGAGAGCAACAGAAAATGGTCAACTCTTCCAACATTTGTTGCTTCGCATGGAGGCTGCTTATCCCCTTCCCTAGGATTGTTCTTGAAATTCTGATCCATGTGGAACTTAATAAAATACGTCAAGACAATTTCAAAAGACTTTTAAAAAAACACAAAACGCAAAAGGTCATGAAACTTTCAACAGAGAACGTTTAGGGAAAGAGCCCTTTTTCTTTTTATCTATATCGCCCGTTCCACCATCGAACGAGTGAGGGCTCGGTTGGATTCCTTGCAAAGCAAACGGCTTTCCGTGGAAAACGCCTGGAATGAGAATGCCTTAGAGTTGACGAGAGTGAATTGAGGAAGTGAAAGGATTTCAGAGCTAATTTGAAGCTAAAAAAACTAATTTTGGAAACTGCCTTCAAAACTACCCATCCACAAATTTTCTGCAATTTGTATATGACTAGACGCAGAGTATTTTGAGAAGAATACGCTTTAGTCCAGTGGCCCAATTGCGAAGATTTTTTCTTGCAAAAAGGGACATGCGCGTTTTCCATTCTCCATTTACCCCTTGATACTGCGAAGTAACTATTAACTTTTTTTGAAGTGCGCCAAGTTGCAGGGCCAGCCCGAGCTTGACCCATCCCACCTCGACCGATTCTGAATCGAATGATAGCATTGATCGCATTCTGAAATTCTTGGCTCAGGTACGCCATCTATTGATATGCTTCAAACTTTGGCAAAAAACACTCAAGAACTTCATTTCATTGGAAACATTGGAAGTTCCTGTTACTCAAGGGACTGATCTCGAAATGTTGATTGAACATGTGTTGAAGTGTGGAATACCTAGCATCGACTCTGACGCTTTATTCAAAGTAGTTTATCAACTAAAAAACATGCAATCCTCAAATCCAATTGATTCCGACGAAATTCTTGAGATTTTGGGATGTGTCTTTGAGAGTTATTATGGACTATTGTATGAAGATGAGGCTACTGAAGAGATTGATGAGGATTCAACGAAGGCAGAAGAAATTCGAGAATTATTCTTGGAATTAAAAGATTTGGATGACACTGAAAGTATTCATGAAGCGTTTTTTGCCAAAAATTTCGAGTCTCGAAAAGTGCTTTTTATGCTGGAAATGATCGAACGAGTGAACAAGAAGATTGAGATCAAATTTTATGCTAAAGGTGTTCTTGATTTGTGAATTTTGCTAGATGTTTTTGAATAAAGTGGTTGAATAAGGTTACTCAGTTTCTGAGAGTCAATTGCATAAAAGATTTTGAAGTTAAAACTACATACAGGTCTAATCATTAGCCACCATAAAAAAAATAAAAATATCTCGATATTAAGGTATTTTTATTGAACACTTTGATCCAAGTCATGGAGAAACCATTATGTCTAAAAATGTTAAAAACAGCTTCCATTCTAACGGGGACACAGACACAACTCTTTTTTTAAGAATTTGATTGAAAATATGAAGCACTGAAACAGATTGTGAGCTTCTTGCTTTGTCTGCGGTGAACGTGAAATGTTCTGTATGGTTCTCAAATTGTTTTTGGAATTGGAAAATTTCTCAAATTGGAAAGGAAAATAGAAAAGAAAAAGTTTGGATTTTGTTGGAATTGGTAAATGGAAAATAATGTTCGAAACTGAATTTTGATTAGCAGCAGTTGTTTGGAAGGCCACACCAATACGGGCACTTCCCGGAGTAACAATTTCCAATGCACGAGTCTGGGCAACAATCGCGCGGACGATGACGATCAGCACGATGAAGAAAGTCGTTTTGGAAAGCTAAAATATGAATTGATATATGAAAGACAATGTTAAGATCTCCATCTAACTACAGATTTAAAAACTCACTCAAAGTAGCATTTTCCTTTTCTTCGGTGGCTGAAACGAGTGGATCGACCAAGAAGAAGAAGCAAATAAAGGCCACAACAGCGACTTTCATTTTGGATTGGTGAATGGAGAAATACAAATTGGATTTGTGCTGTAGTTGGGACTTAAAGTTGGGTATTGATACCAAGGTTGCCATTTGTTGCTAGCAATTCTAAATATAATCCTGAAACCTTGCTGATTTCATTTCCGCTGACAACATTGACTAGTTTTTGACCCCTTCAAAATTACTTGAGTTGTCAGTTAGTTTATGTTGTGAAAAGGTAGACAAAAGAACTTATTGATTGTTGAGTCAAAGTGCTGATAAGGAAAAAAAATCAAAAGAAAACTAAACGGTTTACGTCTGTCTTTTAGTTGGGGCTTTTAGTTGGAATCACTTTGGGGGCTTCACAAACAAACTTAGAATATCGAAGATGGCAAAGGTAGTGTGAAAGCCTTTTCAGGTTTCGATTTTTTCAGCCTTTTTTTAGGCTTCAGTTTTCCAGGCTTTAAGAATAAACCTTTGGATTAAAAAATACTCTTCTTGGTGTTTTGCCATTTGTCTTCTGAAGTATTCTGAAACAACAATGAGAAATATTTTCAAATTGCGGTCTCTTTTTCTGTTCCTTCCACCTTTGCGGCTTCCTTCCTTCTTTTTCCTCAGCTTATCAGTGTTTTCGAACAAGAAGTACAACCAGATTTTGATTCATTTAACCCATTCAAAATGCAAAACAAATAAAAATGAAACTTTTTCAAAACTAGGAGTGACAATTCAACTAACGACCGAAATGAAAAGACAAAGAGCTATCATCGGAAATTAAATCAGAAAGTGGAAAAATAAATATTTTAATGTCCTTTCGATGATAGTTACCCTAAACAATCAGCCAGTATAAATACCCAACTTAAAGCCTCAACTACAACACAAATCCAATTTGTACTTCTCAACACCAATCCGAAATGAAAGTCACCGTTGTGGCCCTTATTTGCTTCTTCTTCTTGATCGATCCACTCGTTTCAGCCGCCGAAGAAAAGGAAAATGCTACGTTGAGTGAGTTTTTGCGCTACTGGAGAATCACTTCCTCTATTCATTAACATTTCAATATTTCAGGTGTCCAAAATGATGTGGTCGACTTGTTCCGTCGTGCTGATCGTCATCGTCCAGCCTCTTGCTGCCCCGACTCGTGCATTGGAAATTGTAACTCCGGAAAGTGCCCCTACTGGTGCGCTCAGCCAAATAATTGCTGCTGATCCCATTCAATGAACTTTTCGTAACAATTTCCACATTTTTTAATAAAACATTTTATTTCAATACAGTAAACACTAAACCTTCTTTTGTTTTATCTTGAATTTTAAGTACTTTGT